TTGGGTCCTCAGGTTTAAATAAGATGGTCCCCAAGCTGTGTCTGTGTAAGCGCCTGGAAGCTGCACTTTCCTGAGCTCTATCATCTAATGCATAGCAAGAAACAACACTGGGACCTGTCCCAAACGCATCCCAACACTCACCGTGGAAACCAGTGGACTACCCCGGCAGGAGTTGAACCTGAAGGTGCCAAATGCAAGTTGGTGGTGAAGAGTGATACTGTCGAAGGATGCACCGAGTACGTGCCGCTGTTGCAGGACAAGCCTGCAAACATGTCGACAGCTGATGCATGCTGATGCTCTTAATTGCCACGTTTCTGGAGAGTTTCTCAAATAAGGGCCCGCGCATACACGCAAAGCAATGTCGTCCTGATCAGAACTCTCCTTTTAAGGTTTCCTCATGCTGTACCGCTTGTTGCAACAGCTGCGTTGTACGTGGAAGGTCACATGCAACCAGAAGTAGAGTTTTAAACATCCCGGGCAAAACAAAACACTAAACTGCACTTCTACTGGTATCTCACTCTTTTTATTTCCCGATATACACCCACCCAATCCCAATAAAATGTTCATGACAGAATTACCTCCAAGTCGTCGGAGCCATTTGCGAGGAGCAGGAAGATTCTCATCTTCCAGGTCAGATCGTCACAGCTTCCGCTTGGAAAGCTGTGTTCTGGCTGCACATATAGGAGTTTTCAAAGGGCCGATAGGGAGGATACAAGGGAATCATGTAAGGATTCAGGGGTGTTTCTCATAACATGTTTGAATGGAGAAGAGCCGCAATCTAAGTCCTTCCTTCATGAACTGAGCATATCTCTGCAGTGGAAATTAATTAGGGAAGACTTCCAGGCATTGTTCTACTAGAATGGTTTCGCCAAACTTGTGTTTGTTGTCCTTGTCTGGTACCTTGGACCTGCTTATGTGGGGCTGTTTGGGGCAGCTGCAGTAAGTGTTGTCCAAACACATCCAGCTGAAATGACTGGCCGGGTGAGGTGATCAGCTGGAGCGTTTGTCAGTGTTTTCGAGGATACGTTCAATTGTTCTTACGAAGATGGATGCCATTGGGTCTTCGATCACATTCTGACTATGGGACTGTTTGGATTCCGGGGTTTGCAGGAGAACCATAAACACTTGGCTGAGTCCTTGGGGCCTCCCATAGGCCTTCTACACTGTGCGTGTAAGGCTGGGTGGTTTTACGAGACAAGACTTTAAGCGCGTCTGAAGCTGCCAGCCTGTAAACTGTAAGTGGTCCAAGACAAGGAGCTTCTGTGTGCAGGTTTGGGAAGAGACGGGGTCAGACGTGCTCGTCGGCCGCAGGTGGTGAAAGCGTGGAACCATGTGGCATGTTCCAATCATGAGGGTTCGCCAAAGATGTGGCTGAGCTTGGGGATTTCCTTGCTAGTCAGCCACGCAACAGGCGTTTCTTCCTAAGGCTTCTGCACCTCCCAAACCCTGTGCCGGAGAGCTTCAAGATTGAGATCCAGCTTCAGGGGCACGAGACAGCCATCGCGCACGGATTGGTGACTATCAACACGGAGAGGCAGCACCTAGATTTGAATTCCTGGAGGAAGAAGGGAATCAGCCAGTTCTTGAAAACTTTGGTTATGTGCCAAAATCACAAAATAGGGGCCTGGTTTGACTCCACGGCATGCCCCTTTTGGACCACAGAAAAGTGGCCCCACATGTTTAGACTCCACTTCCTTGTGCAGTGTGAGCCAAGGAAGTGGACCCTTTTCGGGGGCGGCCAAGTGGATCTCGAAATTACAGTGGAAAAGGCAGGTCATGCTTCCAACCTGACGTTGCCAGTAATGGCAACTGTGGCAACCGTATCAGTCGATTCATTGGTTCTAGCATGTTACATTTGCTGCCTGGCCTTTTTGGTGCCGACGTGCTGCTAAACCCGCGGTGCTTGAAAGCATTCAAGTGAGTGAGCATCCTTGCGTGCCGTTGCTGCCTGCGGCCTGCAGCATGCCCTGTGCGCAGGCTCGAACACCGGCTGGGAAGCTTTGCAAGATATGATGATCAGATGCAAGGGCTTTCATGCTCCCCGCTCCCCACCAGCGTAGCAGGTGCCAAGAGCTTTCAGAGGTCTCAGCTTCGAGCCACAGCCCAGACTCCAGCTGGTGAGAGCGACAGAGTGACCTGTTCTCCTAAAGTGTCCCAAGCCGCATAACTACTCGAAAGTCTATATATAGGGGCTTATTCAGTCGAATCCTTTGAGGGGCTTCATGCCCTGGAAGTCGCATGCGAAGACAAGGAGACGACGCGAGAGCACCGCCAAAGATCGGATCGTTGAGAAGTTCGCGCCTCATGGAGTCAGCCCATGCTTGTGTGCGCTGGTGCTATGAGACTACGTGAGGTAGGGTTGTGTATCGGTTTAGATGAGCGTATGTAGCGTTCCATAGGAACATGGGTGAGTGTAGGTGATGGGTGTCCAATTTGGGAGACCGGTTAACCATAAATAAAGCCATGGGTCATGTGCGAAGACTAAGAGATATGACCCTTTGGCGAGTTCAATTGCTATTTTGGGGTGTCTACCAAGTTTGGCAGATTTGCGCAGCATGCGCAGTCATTCGCCTGTGGCACGAGGCAAAACAGGTGGAGCTCCTGTTTTTGCAAGTCATGCCATTCTGACAGTGGAGCCGTGAATACTCACCACAGGCTGGAAAAGCTGTTCGACGTCAGAGACCCTTTTTCAAAAGTTGTTATGCCCAGCGAAGCCCGGTCGCATTTGCAAGTTTGTCAGCTTAGCGTGGGCATTTAGGGGGATAAGGGGACTATGATATTATGGGGTTCTTCAAGTGAGTTTCAATAGGGACGATACGTATAGTCCCAGCAAGGCAAGGACCCCTAAAGCAACCCCCCCAAAAAGGCATCCTCCCCAAACCCAAAATAGATCCCCAAATGTTCTCTTCCTCATCAGGGAACCCCAATGCCCAAAAGGGGACCCCGAATGTTCGGAAACCTCCAAATCCCACTATCCCAGGCGCATCCCCAGGCTCCATGCCTGAATCCACACCCACAAGCATTTGAAGCACTAAACACCCCTCAACCTGCGACCTCATTGTTCTACTTGGAAGTCTTAAACCCTCGATCTTTTTACGTTTCACCAATGAGCTACTCTCATACAGCTCTTTTTCGATGTGCTTCACATTTTGCAGTGCAGTAGTTCTTCCCCAGCCGAATTTTATGGCCAGTTGCCGTACAAGAAAGGTTGAAGGTTTTCGACTTGTCCCAACCCTACCCAGCCTCCTCAATGCAGTTCCTGTTTTGGGGCACCTCTTTTGTTTCTTGGGTTCCTAAGCAAAACATAAATGTCACCAAGAAAAGGTGCTGCCTAGGAGATCTAAATAGCCATTGACCTGGGTATGAACCCAATTTGAACCCATCAGCTTTCCGCTAGAGGGTTTAGCCACCTAACAAAAACGCTTAGACATGAGTTCGCGGGATCATATTTCAATTTCGGATGAGTCCACAGTGGGACTCCAGAGGAACTCGTACTGATCATCCCAGATGGCAACAGATGCCCTAAGGGTCCAAGTACCTAACAATCATATACTTACCCAAAACCTGTCCTATAATTACTACTACCCAAAACCCAAGTACCCAATTATTGGGTACTTTGACCCTCTGGGATGGTAGTTTCCAGAAACAGGGGCCCCTAACATATACCCCTCAAATTGCTAAACGGACTCCCACGCAGGGCATTGAATGTTCAGAACCCGCCTAAAGCTCTAAAGCCGAAGTTGCTTGACCCTCCAACCTTCAGGCCTGGACCCCCAGACATTTTAAGAGAAGCCGTGCTGGTACACAGACCTCTACCCGGACCCAAAATTGTGTGGAACAGAATGTTCTCGTTGGCCTCCAGTTCATTTTCTGTATCAGTTTAGCAAACCTTGCCGAGCCTTCGTGAACAGCGGTAATTCCAAATGGAGGGGTCCCTCTGTGTTATATACCGGCCCGAGTCTTGGAAACCTTTTGTGCATATGACTTGGAGCAGTATGTTCTCAAGACCCGTTCCCCTGTTCGGTGTCCGAAAGACGAGGGCCATAGCATGTGTGTGTGTATAGGTTGGCCCCGGCTTTGCGAAATACGCAGAACCCCTCAGATCTCCAATCCTCAAAACTGCATTGCAGAACCTCTTGGAAGGCTTCAAGTGGCTTCTTCTCATGTTGAGCAGAAGACTGAGAGGAAATTCCAGGGTTCTTGCAAGATGACGATCATAAAGCTCCATACAACCCTACGCAGGCTACCCAAGCCCAGAGCTCTCTCAGCGAATGTCAAGGACATGTTGGCGGCCATGAAGAATTCACGGAACAAGAAATCCACGCAGCTGACAGCTTCCTTGGGTATCGCAGCTCTGCCTTGGACACCCAAAAGGGAGTCCGGTTTAGGGATCAAGGTTTAGGATTCCTTCACTCAGTCTTGGCATGGCCATATGTGTCAGTTTGGTGGTTATGCCTCCGCATGGTTTCGCCCGGAACTTCTGCCTGGCAGTCATCAAGTGCAGATTCAAAATAAGGTTCAGGGCGCCAAAGATAGCAGTTGCCAACACAATGAAGAACCAAATGAACAATGAGTTTGAAACCAGTTTCCATAGGGGTTTATAGGGTTAATTTGCTGGTTGCTAGCAGGGACTAGCTCTGTTTGTTCTTTCCATGCTGCGCTTAGTTTCCTGGGCATGGGAAGGCTCAGGATTGAGGTTGTATGTTCACGAACAACGCATACCTCCTGGAAAGTGACACGGTCATGTGAATGGTCCCGATGTTTGTGGCACATCCAGTCAGCACGCTTGGTGCTTTTGATGTTTATTTGTGTGTCAAGCGGGTGAGGACTAAGCTTGAGGGACTAACGGGGCGGTTTCCATAATTCCTGCTTCAGAGAATGAAGTAATCAATCCTTATAGTAGCCCCTATACAATCTGCTCCAATGCTATAGCAGTCTCCGATTTTTGTTCATCCCCTTCAATCCCTGCTAACCAGAGGTAAGTTTTGTGGAGAGCTAAGGAAGACCTGGAAGAGGCGCAGCCGGGGTGGAACAATAACTTCCTGATTACATTTGCCACAGTCAAGTGAAGTGGGTAGCAAACTTATGAACCATCCAGGTCACCTTGCTCACGAATTCAATTTGGTTCTGGGGACGCAAGCCTTTCACTCATTGGACAACCACGGTAAACACCTGCCGCGCACAAAAAGGCTGCGGGGGACTTTGAAACACATGGCCGCGAGACCATGACAGTGGGGGGAACAGATATGAGCTAGAGTCTAAACTGTTGAAAGGTGATTATATAGGGGACTATTACAGGGGCTATTAGGGGGGGGATACTAGGAGTTTAGACTATGGCTCAAGGGTATCTACAACAAACCTTACTGGCTCTTAGTAGGGAATGTGGGAATATAGTCCCTACATAGTCCCTATATCATCCCCATGTAGGACATTCCCTTACTCCCTACTAAGAACCAGCAAGAACAGGGGGTTGGACTGCATGCCCACACCCGGGATATGAAGTCTAATCGTGTACTTCCTGCGTGAATCGTGCTGCAGCTCCCAAGTATCCCGGTATAAGGTTAGATTCCATGCGCTGATAGAGTGAAAATCAACTATAAACTTGTACGAGCAGTAGGAAGAAAACTACAAAGTCACAAGAGCAGTCTCTGTATAGTTGAATCGCAGGTCGTGCTGGAGCTAAAGCGCATTCACACCAAGGCGATCGACAAAGATCGCAAGGCGGGCAGTTGTCAACATGAGGGCCCTATGCCATTTGCCAGCGCTGCGCATGCCAGCATGCGTGAACAAGGTGGTTATAAGGAGCAAGAGCCCCTGGGTACATAATCCCAATATCCCTGCAACATAACTCGGCTTCCATTTCATTTTCCTTTCGATTTTCCCTCTGGTTCTCCACTATTGGGGTAATATACGTGAGCCCTGAACCCCAAATAGTAGCCTCTATTTCATTTCCCATTTCATTTTCCATTTCATTCCTTTGGCCCTATAGAACTCCTATAAAACCATTATAGACCTATAGAACAACATGACAAACCCCTAAAGCAATTATACAGAAGCTGTTGATTATTTTAGCGTCTTCTAAACGTAGTTTCCAGCTGATTCCCCAAAACCGGGGTAATCTCGCTAAAAGCCAAAGCCCTGTTATAACCGTTTATTTTCACATGTAACCCTGGTTCCGATTGTTTCGGGACCCCAAACCCTAAACCCTGAGTCTTAAATCCTAAATCCTGAACCCTAAACCCATAAACCCCTAACCCCATAAAACCCCTAAACCCTAAACCCCTAAGCCCCTAACCCCTAAACCAATTGGCAACATGCCTAGGTCAAGGCTTCCTCACAGCAGCCAGTCATCGCCTGGAGGCAGTTTTTAGAAGCATGCCCGCACGCAACAGACAACTACACACAGGGATGCTTTACATATAGGGTTTAGGGATTAGGGTTTCAGGGTTTGGGGTTTAGGGTTTACGGACAAATGTAGGATGCGTTATAGCGTTACATAAGGGTATGGGGCGGAGAATGAAATGGAACATGGAAAAACAAAAATGCACACTACCGCTTAGGATTGCTGTCCAGAGCCGCAATTATGAAGGTTTACAGAAAAAGGAGTTGCACCCAGGAATCTAAGAAGTGATTGGGGATTATGGAAGTCCCCTCTCGGGTTTCTTTTCGGCACTGTCTTGAGAACGACCCGTATGGGGGTTCCAAACAAAGTTGCCCAGCTTGCTTGTAACTCTTGATTCGCAACAACTCGGCTTTGGCACAAACATGTATAAGTAGGTGTGCTGGCATAATCTAACATACATGTCCAGATACAGGTGTATATATATATATATACACATGCACACATACCCCAGTCGAACTTTCCTCCCTCCGATCCGAAGCCAACTGGATGGTAGACCAGCTGAAGATATGGTTTGCTCATGGATGTGTTGACAGCACGTAGGGCTACATGGAAGCTGTATGTTCTTAAATTGAAGATCCCTCCAGAATCCGTAACGACTAGAGGACCCTCACGCAACCTCCCTAAACTTCCCAGATGAGGGACAAGACATTTTGAGAAAAAAACATGTCCCAAAACCTAAACCCTAAAGGTTGCTCTCTGCAGTTGGGGTAGTGGTGTGCCAGCTTGTTCGATTGGGGCCTTGTGTTGCTGTCTAGCCATTCAAGTGGCAAGTAAGAGGCTTTCGCGTTTCTTGACAAATTCTCTGCCAACAAAGGACTGCATCATGATGGATGATTTGCCAAAGTATTCTGTGGGTCCTGTGGTGCCAGCCTCAGGTACTCTTACGGGCAAGATGATCACATCGATACCGTGCTTGTAGGACTCTTCAGGGCAGGGAGGGACAAGGGGAGTTATCATGTCCGTAATTTCTTGCAGGCGAAAAATGCGCGATAACACGCCTGGCCTGAAGCGTGTGCGTTCTTGGAAGACCACCTGGCCTGAACTTTTCCTTTCAAAGCCCAGCGAGATTATGCTCGTTTGTTCCCTAGGCCTTGAACATGTTCATTGTCCAGCAAGCCTTGCTGGGCGACGACATGCCTTCGACTGGGGCATCCGGAGCTTATCTGATGGCCTACGAGACCGCTGGCTTCTAATTTTACATTTTTTGACTTATAGGGGGAAAGTTCAAAGTTTGCACGTATAACGCAGTTGAATATGACACCTTCTAAATAGCCTGACGTCAGTTTTGCTACCGGGGGTCCATGAAGACCAAGGAAGATGCGCAAGCCTATCACTCGATCGCAGAAACTAGGCAGTTCAGCAGAATGCCTTTTGATTGTGATCTGGCCCTCTCTTCATAAGCCGAAAAACCACAGCTTGTTTTTCTTTCGGTTAGCAGTTGCCAAAGGAAGTGGGTCAACATGGTAACTGGCCTCTCCACGGCTGCGATCATGTTGAGTAACCCGGGCATGAAAAGCAGCGAAAGACAGCAGCAGTTTCTGATTGCTGTAAATTTTCCATAAATTCTGCGCGTTGTGAGGAGGCAGAGCATGATAGGCACCCTCGTTACATTGCTCCTTGTAATGTGAAACATCCAAAGCCTCTCCATAATCTCCCTTTATTCCTGGGCTCCTGAGGGCACAAAGATGTTGACAAACCCCAATTACGGTTGCTCCAGCTCACGACTTTCTGGGGCGGATGGGTTTTAGCCATTTGTCACTTAGGTTTCGTGGACAGCCGCCGCAATCCACACCCACCTGACATTGCCCCTATCCAAAAAAATCCAATCCTAACTGTCAGGAGTCTACGGAAAAGTCTATTGACGGTCCTTGACTCCTGGCACCCGAAACTCGAAAACCGCAAACCCTAGAACACACGAAGTAAAGCCTACAAACCTTAAACTCCGAGCCCTAAAAACCATAAAGTCCCAAAAGCCTTAACCCCCTAATCCCCTTCCGGGTCATCCCAAGGCTTTTTGTTTTTGGGCCTCTCCTTGGATATCGACCCGGACTGGACAGGATGGATCGTGCTGGAGGGCATCTGTTCCCGGGCAGGGTCTTGGAGTAAAGTTTAGGGTTCAGAGTTTTATGGTTTAATGTTTAGGGCTTTCAACTTTTGACGCTTTTATCTGAAGTGAATTCAGCAACGAGGGCCAGGATTTAAGGCACATGCACATGTGCAGATGCACGCCCAGGTGCCATGGTATTTGTGGCAGAAGTCGCGATTAAAACCTACGTTGCTCGGAGCTTTTGGTGCATGTGAGATCATGGGTTTCCCTGGCATGCCCCATACAAGGCACCCTCCAGGGAATAAGCAGATGGCCAAGGATGTTGGAGTTGATCATTACCGACCCATACTCACGGCCCCTAGGCGTCCTTCCTCTAAGCTAGACGGGCTGGTCGTGGCACCTATGGGCTTTGGGGCAAAACTAGGCAGGATGTATGTGGGCATTCCATGGCATTCCAAACATGGGGGTCGAAAAGCCCTCTAACATGACAATCCTCGCCGGGCTCCCAAATAAAGGGCACGGAATTTTCGGAAGCCCCCATGTATGAGCCCAAAATCAGTCAGAGGCTCATTTTCCGCAATGTTTTGCGTTGGCTTTGTCAGAGGCTCGAGGCTGGAGTGGCTGCCAGGTGCTCATTCTTCGAAAATGTTGGGGGCTCCCCCCTACTTGTTCTCTCAAAAGAAAGATTGGTAGATTCCATGACATTTCATAATTAGCGGAACCTAACATGGACGATGGCCCTTACTGTGGAGGCCACCAAAATGGCACGCCAAATTCTCAGACACCGCCAAATGGAGTTCTTAGTGCAGGGGATCCCAAAGGCCAATCATGCTTTGCAGCAGCCCAGCAGATGAGTTGACTAGGTTGAAAACTGTCTCTGCGTAGCTTTTTCCGAAGCTCAGCGCCTTGTCTCTTCTCCACCACGTTCTTCATGAGAAATGACTCCGTAGATCAGAGCGTGAACCTCAATTTCGGAAACTTCTCCAATCCATTGCTGCAACACGCACTATAGCGCTTCTCCATGCTCTTCCCGAGTCTCTGAGTGCATCATTACGAACTCCTTTCTGCATGGCCGCCAGCATCCGTTGTCAAAAGATTGTAGATGAGAGATTGTGAAAAACTCTGACTTTCTTTGCTGAGTCTGCTGAGGGAAGCCTTTCAAGTACATCAGGATTAAATTGTTGCAGAAGGGGGCCCGGAGCATCTTCCTGCTGCAAATTCAGGTTCTTACGTTGCGTGAGTACTTCTGTGGCCGAGATTGCTGCTGGGCGGGACATGTTCGTAATTTCGAGGTGCCTCAATTTCGCCAGTGGAAATTCCAGAGAACAGCCAAGGTGTGTGGAACACCTTTGATGTCCTCCTCTCAATGGTTCCTTGGCCTTTTCTTCTCTCGCGCGCATTAACCGCTGGACCCGAAACCCTAGCCCTAAATTAATAAGACCGCTCGGGTTTTCTTGGCCATATGGGCGTCACGGGCCTCAGGTCGAAGACTTTCAGTTGTACGTACCCAAAAGGAAGGTAAACGGAGGTCTTGGGTATATTCCTCGGCCTATAACCCTAAGAAATCATAGCGAAACTCCCTCATTAGGGTTTTTCTTCAGATGGTTTTCAGGGAGGTGCCTTTAGGACATAGTGATGTGAAGGTATCGGGTCAAAGCAGTCATGCCACGAATCATCAAGGCCACCCTCAGCATTCTTCAAATCACCAGACATCCCTGAGTCAAGAAACATGCAGCATGTACGGCACGCGCTGCATGACCGAGAAGATTGCTGCTTCCCGCTCAAAATCCGGCTCGGCCTTCTCCAACCCTTTGAAACACAATACCAGCCTTCATAGCCCTTGCTTTGCCACGTTTCACAGGGATACCCAGAATCTTGAAATGCTTTTCCACAACAGACCCTAGGGCCTTCGGCTCTAGACGTGCCATTGAGGTTGCTGTTGGTGAGACGATTTTGAACATCGTTTTCGCGACAGCTGGCTCCGAGATGAGACTCAGCATTCAAAGCGCTGCTGCTTCCGTGATGCCTGTGCGATGCGCAGGAACTTAGATTTCGGCCTTCCAGCAACATCTGCAAGGTCATGAAATCTCCCTGCTGTGCCATGCAAGTGGAAGCCATCTAACATCTTTTTACCATGCAGGAATATCGTGCCCGTCCCAGTTTTATGTATCTTGCTAAAGCTGATTCTGTGGCGCTGAGGAAAGCGGCCTTGCTTCTGAGGGGCCTGCGCCTGGCCGGCCCCCTACGCTAGAGTCATGGCATGGGTCCTAAACACGTCTCTACCCCTCAACGACCACCCGCAATAATGTAGTAGCTGCCAGTCTCTTTTACATGCCTTCATTCCTCGTATACAGACAACCAGCAAGATATCCATATACAACTCCTATATAAACCGTGTCCTTTTCATTGTCCTTCTTTTGCAGGTTCCTTCTCCAGTATCCAGCCCTGTATCCTGCTAGATACAGACAGGTACAGCGCCTACTGTACAGGCCTGAAATAATCCCCAAGCCCCTATACATAGTGCAAAAGCGCAGGAGCACACCTATACCTTTTAAACCATACCCCATATGCACATTATGAACCCTAGTCCCAGAAAATGGGCCTCCCAAGGCCCGGATGGCCCGCCTGGCGAAGCTCGTGCGCATGCCACTGCTGGAAGAGCTGGCCAACATCGTTTCAGGCAAGTTCCCGGCAGGGTTTAGGGTAGGTAGGGGGTTTAAACAGGATAGAAGGAGGATGATATAGGAATAGAGGGCTAAACAATGCAACAATGATTCAATCGAGGGTCAAATCGCAAAAATGGAAAGTTAGCTGGAAACTGGGTCTAGGGGTTGTTAAAGCTCAGCGGACTTGGTAAATAGGCTCGACAGGCGGTTATGAGGAGGCCACTTAGTGGACTGGTAGGCCTATATAGATAGCCTGTCATGAAGTTGTTGAACCTTCAAGCGCGGTTTTGGACTATGTTGTGGAAGTTTAGGGTTGAAGGAATCAACTATCAGAAATCCAGGTAGAAAAGGGTATGGATTCCATGCCATGCCATGCTCAAGTATCAAGGGTTGAGGCCGGACACTGGCATCGTGAAGAATGTTGGGTTCATGTAGGGCTTTGTCAGGGCAATATCGTGTGAGCATATCTTATGGGTTCGCGCAATCCACCTCCACCTTCACCAGCCACCTCCCTCCCCCTGAACGAAGTAGCCTTCATTAATCCTAAATAGCTCTAATTATTCACAGGAGAATCTTGGGCGGGAGTGTATGTGGGGTTGGTTTAGGCTGCCCAACCTTCAAAAGGCGGCTGTAGGCGTGCCTTTGGCAGCGAGGAGTTGCAAGGTTCATTACATTGCCATGCATGGAAGAACGAGCCCTAAGGTTGGGTTACGCCACCACCCACTAATAGCGGTATATTAAGAATATATAGAGGCTCCAATATAATTGCCATTGTCTCCGGTGGTCACTTTCAGTAGGTGGGGGCCCAACCTAACCCTAAGGTCCTTCAGTCTTCCCGTATCAGATGCGCTCCTAACCTTGGCTTAGATTTCTCAAGACTTGGGGCAGTCAAGGTTTAATGCTTGGGGGCTAGGGATTTCGCATCCCACATTTTTCAAAAATATAGTTAGCCTTAAGCGGGATAGTTAGTAGGCCTTATGGTCGGTTGTTGCGGCAGATATGGGCTATCCCGCAATCCATTTGCTTCCGTGTTGATTGCTCCGGGTGGGAGATGGTTCATTTGTAATCTTCGAGGACATGAGGCGTCTCGGGGCTTGGGCTTGAAGGGCATCAATGCCTTTTTTGTTAAAAAGTCGTGCCAGCTTCCCAGGTGCCATGTTGACAGAGGCGTAGTTGGATTCCGAGCTTCAAAGGGGTTGTGGCAGCTGTGTACCAAAACTCAAGCCACCGTGGTGGTAAGAATTTGCTGTCAGGAGGTGGTCATGGGCACCAAATTAAACGAGCCAGTGGCATTGTATTTACAGTGAGGACTTCGAAATTCGGATGATCTCGTCCTGGAAGCCCTTAGACAGCCGTTTTTCTTCCATTGACTCAATTATGATCGCCATCCACACATCTGAGTTCTGAGCCATAGGCATTGTTCCTCCCAAGGCTGGACATGAACCACCAAAACACCCATTTGCGCAGGTTCCCAAAATTAGAGTTAGTCTTTTGGGGGTTTCCATGATAGGTATTTTGCAGTAATTTTGGGGGGTCGATATAAGATGGCAGCCGGCAGCTTTGAACCACGGCAAGTTCACCAGCAAGACGGGATCATTTGGGGGTTGTTAGGCAGCACCAGAGATCAGACAGATAGCTGCGAAACCTTACATGCCGAGGATCTACAGCTCACGGCGTATTCCTAGAGGGTGGGCGCCACAAAGCTTATTGCTGTGAACAATACACCAAACAGCACAAGCAAGAGCTACTCAGTCCATCATCACTTTGGACGCTCACGCCATGTCACCTCAATGATGGACAGCGCATGTTTCTGCCCAAAGTCCTACTCAAATCTGAAGGTCAACGCATAGGCCTCAACCCCCTTTCTCCTCTAGCCCTCTTCAAGAAGACGGTACTATCTGAAAATTGACCAAGTTTTTTAGGGAGTTGTTACTAGGCGAGGACCCAAGACATAACCATTACTCTATCGCGATGCTCTCTGAAGCCTTACGCCTTGGCAGGCTTTGTTCTCAGCGCCCGGGCCTCATACTGCACGTAGGGTGTACTTATAACACAGCTATCAATACGTTTGTAGACTCAGGGGCTTATAATTAGGTTGTCAGTAGAATTATATTTGGTTGTAAAAGCCTTGAATTAAGTACAGATCCGAGTAGTTCCGACGAGACTTGGGTTGTAGACTCAGATCTCCAAGTTTTACATTGCTCCAGGGTCCGGTCTTCACTGGCTGCCACAACAAAGTATACTGGGAAAAGATCTATGAGTGCAGCGCTGTAGCAGCAATAACCATTACGGTATTGGGATCATAGCTATCTAACACAATTCGGACATTTCTTCGGGAGAAAAGTCCAGCGCACGGTGACAGCGGAAGGGGGCTCAAGAAGCAGTACCAACACTTGAATAGGAACTTCAAACTCTTCCTTTGAAATACCCAGCCCATGTCTTGCATGCGGCGACTCTTCAGATTTCGGGGAATTCAGAATTAGAGTTTGGGAGATGGTTTCGTATTTGTTGTTGGCATGAGCTTTTGCAGCAAAGCCAGTGAGGCTTTTTTCGTTTGAGCTGCCCACAAAACTGTTGACCCCCCAACACAGATCTTGGACCCAAAAGGCTCAGAATTGGGCTTGTTTTTCAACTTGCCGTCCCCCAGCCAAGAAGCAAGTGCATTGCAAGAAAATTTATCAAGAGCCGGCCAGCATGCAAGAAGCATTGTTGGTTCTGGTGGTTGTGGTGGTGGTGGTGGCGGCGGCGGTGGCAGCGGTGGCAGTGGCGGCGGTGGCGGTGGGGGTTGGTGGCGGTGGCAGTGGCAGTGGCGGGGGGTGGCGGCGGTGGTGGTCCCGGTGGCGCTGCCGTGCCGGTGCTGGGCGGTTGTGGTTGTGGCTAGTGGCGTTTTTGGCGGTCGTGCCCGCCGCCACAGTCGTCACTTTCCTTGTGTCGGAAGGATAAAGAACCCAAAGCAGACCAAAATATCAACACGATGCGTCAGCTTGAGTCGATGAAGCTCGGAGGCTCAGGAGTGCGGTTTGAGACTCCCAACATGGTTGATCTCACTCAGGCAGAGATGTCAGAAAGGTTGTAGCAGGACTGTAGCAACCTTGCCAAAGTTGAATTCCTGACGATTGTCTTGTAGACTTATACACCGGACACACTTCCTGACACTCACGTAACAAAACGTCATGGAATTCATTGAATTCTTCAGACGCGCGTGCAACAGCAGGTCAGGGCGCTGTTCTGGGTGATTGTCACGCTGACCTTGGTGATCTATGTGCGGACCTCTGCGAGGGCTTGCCCGGATTATAGACTTTTCTGTCCAGGGGCAAGGGATGTCTACAGCGGTAGCGTGTTCAGGCCTCATCTCTGACTGAGACGTGGCAGTCTTATGACTAGAATGATAGCTGTTGCCACGTTTGCTTGAGGCATGTGCATTGATCAGGTTTTGGTTATTCAGTTCATCCACATTGTTTGACCAGGCCAGAGGTGGCTTCATTGTCTCGTCAGGATATCAAGAGAAAGTTTTTGATGTAAGGGCCTTCCATGTTTGGCAAAAGGAATTCTAGCCGGCTTGGCTTCACCACCGCAAAGACGAGACGTGACCAAGTACACTTCAGCACCCTACCGTGGTTGGAGAAGGAGATCCAGCAGGGCCGGACCAAGTTCTGCTTTTTCAATTCTCAACGTATCTCTGGATACTTTTCAGGCATGCAAAACAAAACGCGGGTTGCTGCTCAGGTCATGTCGCTGGGCTTGAGGACTACCATTCAAGCGGTCTCCTCCGATGCTCTCGGCAGGTTGGGTTTTGGATTTGGGGTGCTCTGAGCTGTGTGGGCAGCATTGCTGTCAAGCGAATATTGGAATTTCACGAAATTGTGAGCCGCGCGTGGGGTGGCCTGAGAAACTTGCATATCATCCCAGACCCACGGGGTACCATTATCAGAAAGATGCTGCAATCCTTTGCAGCGTTTCAGAGACGGGAGACACAAAGAATCGCAGGAGGGCGGGAAACATACAAGATTTGGTCCATCAGAATTCTGCTCTACAGGTACATCACCGCAATACACTGCTTACATTGGTTGGATGGCTGCAATTGCGTTTCCTGGATCTTTCGCCCTTCAACAATGGCTTGGTTTAAGCTTCATGGGGCCAGGGAGCTTAAATTGAAATCTTCGACCCAAGTCTGTGAGGTAGCACTACAGTCACATAGCAGCTGGGGCTCTCGTGAGGACTTCAGGTCAAATCAGCAATGCTCAGGTGTGGCTATGGCGACCTTTTCGATTTAGATGACTCAATTCTTACCGATCCTGGAACCAAGTGCAACTCGCCAATCTTGACCTGCATTGTTCAGGGTTTAGGGCTCGCAAGGTTTAGAGTCATGTATGTTCGTTGCGACCTCCGAGGCAAACTCCACCACATGTACGGCGAAGAGTATTGCGCCTCTGTGATTGGCTGCATGTTCTCCATCTTTCGGTGTATCGTTGGAGAATGTACTACAAAAGGCGCCTGTCTCTGACATCATGTGGGCATGTGCCAAGGGTCTGGTCCGGGGAGCAAGGTTCACAGTGCTGTGCCCAGTAACGAGACGAGATCTGTAGGAGGAGCCGCTGAACATGGATGCATGGGCTGTGGGGTGCACATGGGACCTTCATGTTTTGACCCTCAATTGGTTGGTCATGCAAATGCGGCCTACTGGCAGGCGGGCGGTCACTGACAATGATCTTCAGTGATGGCTTCGGAGTGCGGTTTGACGTCTTCTACGCCGGGAGTATGATTGTGGCCGCTTGTTCAAAGCTGTGACGGCGCCTAACTAAGTGTCACAGATTTGTGTGAGGGGAGTGACTGCGGGTGACGGTCAGTCGAGTCTTGTTCAGTCGGGGTAGACCTCGCACAATCGCAGGAACACTGGTCTAGACCTTCCACTCAGACCCCACAAACTTCTCCAAACAGTTGATGCTGCTATGGATCCGTCTTCGGGCATAAGTGATGCTTGCCAGGTTGAAGGGTTTGGATTTGAAGCAATGCGAAAGATTGTCTTTGAGATGGCGAAGCCAGCCACTTCAGATCTGTTCAGCTGCCGGCCAAGGTTCTCATGGGACTGTTCAACATTATCACTGCAATTTTCGTCGAAGCAACATTGAGCGGAACTCAGTCTGGCAGGCATTTGTGGGCAATGCAGACTGTGGGTGCCGGGTATTGCTCCAAACTTATTATCCTTCTGGGTCGTGCGCATAGGCATGGCGAAGCGTTTGTAGCATTGTAGGGCTTTGTCTGACACATGTGTTTTTAATCCCCCAAACAAATATGGACTACACAAGCTTTCTTCTCCGATGTAGGGCCCAGTATGAGTGATCTTGCCTAGGAATGGATTGAAGGAAAACGAGACGCACCGCCGATATGCGAAGGCTTATGAGTCGAGCCTCTACGTTGGCATTTTAGTAGTCGGTTTCTGGGTTAAAGAGTTTTAGGGATTATGGTTTGGGCATCAGATTCGAGATATTATACGTTGAAGTTTGCAGACCTGGGTATTCCAGGTTTTGCGCTTTCTTGGCTGAAGCGGGGCCCGATCTACGAAATTAGATTGAAATGACCACCTTAAATCCTATGTCTATACATAAGTACATGTCACGACAATAAGGTAGGCATGTTCTCACAGTGAGAGTGCTCAAAATTATTCCTGCAGTATGGGGGGGTATCTTCTAAAAGGACCGGGAAATGGGTGCGTTGCCATGTCCAGATGCCATGACCTTGTAACCCCTGACGATCTGTACAAATCCGGGTAGGGTATGATTTTATATTTTTTCGGTTTCGGTATTATGTAGACGAGACAACAAAAAAGCAAAGCTAGATCCAAGAAAAGAACGTCGACAGAAATACAAAAATACAGGAGGAAGAAATCAAGAACAAACAACAGACGTGAGGGAAAGAGAAACGAACAAACAAATAAAGAGCGTAGCAAGATTAAACGAATGCTGAAACAAAGGACAACACATCCCGGCCACCCTCAAAAAGCCCTGTATCCCTGAACCGGCACAAAACCGAAAACCCCCACACCGGAAACCCCTGCACCCCCAAATACCGAACCTGTAAATCCATAATCCCTGAACCGCTACCGTGTAAACCCTACATCCCAATCTCTTGCAGCCGTAAACCTTAATTACCCGCAAACTAAACCCTAGATCCATAAATCCTTGAAGCCCAGACCCGTAAACACCGGTACTCTAAACTCTATTATAAGTCCCTAACCCCTTCAAACCCCAACTCCTACGTGCAGACCCCTATAAACCTTGAAGTCCTACACCCTGAACCGCACCCTAAAGCATGGCAAAGTCTGACATCGAGGCAATGCGAGCAGGACACAGGAACCAAACCTAAAAAATCTAGGACCAGCCAAACCACCATCCCAACCCTGTAAGTCCCTCGCCGAGACCAGAACAGCAGAGAACATCCAGCAACAAAGGCCAGGCAAGCAAATCATAGCAAACGCAATGAACACTCAACCTCTGCAACTCTGGATTTTTTATGCTGCTGAGGCTACATGACGGAGCAGTTGGCCAAGCTGGTCATGGTCCTTTCTTCCCAAGTGCAAAAGATGCGAAATAGGCCGCTGCTGGCGGTTTAGCAGATTAGATTTCAATCGAATTTTCATAAGATTAACATGAATTTCAAAAGGGGATTTAAAGAGCTTGTGGAGGCAGCCCTATCTCATTCTTTCAACAGATATCTTACCCTAACATGAAACATGTTTTAGGGACCCGGATTATTTGATATTGCGGGGGTGTGGGAGAGGACGTCGTTTAATATGCGGGGGGAGCGATTGTAGGAGCACCTCTTGCAGGACAAATTCGTTGCCTGGTTTGCTTGGCGACACCATGCTACCAGGCGCGATCGCAAGCTTCAGGCCAGGGGCAAGCAGTTTTTCATGACTGATGAGCCAGCGAGTCTGTTGGTGTCATGTGTGCCTTAGTTTGAACCTGCGGCACAGTCTTCGTAAGTATGTTAGTTAAAGCATAGGAACCACAATCCGACCTGAGAGACCTCCTACGGCTTACAGACGGCCAGCTGAGCAGCACAGAATTCTCAACTCTGCAGGGACACGCTGGGCGTGGATTCTGAAAGTCCAGCTGCTACGCAAGCGCATCTGCATTCAGAAGAGACATATCTGAGCAGCTCGCCTGCGATATGTCTGGACCCACGATATATCATATCGCCTGAAATTCCCACAGTAGGGCCAGTGTTGCAGTGGCGACAAAGGATTCATGTATCATTGGCGGTGCTGCACAATCCTGCCGAATTTTAATCCAACTTGTTCGTTGCTCTTGCGGTTTCCGTGCGCGGGTGACTTGCTCAGTGTAGAAGCCCCCCACCCAACGATACTCCCACGGTACATGGACACTGAACCCCCTAAACCAGACACATTACATGTTGTACTCCTCCTTAAACTTCCAGTAAGAAACCTCCCCACCCCGCAATAATCCACGTTCCCAACACTACCACTGTCATGGAAACCAGTAGATGATTGCAGGTTTTACCACTCGTGATTGCATACATATACTCACAATGTCCATGCCATGTTCCATGTGTCTTTCCTTGTCATTCGCCCAAACCCTTGGCTCCTCAACCCTGAATCCAAAATCCCAACCCAACCACTGCGCCCTGAACAACCATAGAGCCTATAAGCCGTAAACATTAACCACATGGTAGTTTCCATGATCTTTTTGATTCTTTCCCAGTGACGAAACCCTATGAGCATCCTTCATGGGCCTCAGTGTTGCCCCAGGCGAAGAAGAGTTCAATCAGCTCATCAGGATGCCAGAGGCAGTTATTTTAGGGTGTCAGGGTTTAAGGTTTCAAGGTTCAAGGCTTGAATGGTATGAAGGTTGAGGCAGGCAGGGAGAAGAGAGGCCAAGCGAGCCCACTCTGACTGGAACTACCTTCCTCTTGGCACTGAACGAGGACATGGATTTTCAAAGTACGTCGAATGCGATCCGTACTTGTTATTTGCCTTGGGCCCATTCCCATGATTGCTGGGTAGTGGCTCATTTTGGCTCGTTGAGTTGCCAGTAAAAAGTGCCACTGCAGAACTTGACTCTTGTGAAAAACGCTCCATTGCTGTTTCCGTTGCGACGGACCTCCTATGAACCAGCAAGTTGATTCACAAAAGACGGCACATTTGATCCAAGCCAAGTTGCTTCAACTCTGCGAGGAGGCTAGCTCCCATGCACTCTGCACTTCTTGGAAAGGTACCCTTTCAAGAGACTCCTAGGTGTTTTTCTCCAGAGTAGTCGTGTCGTGATGGGCATCACCAAGTTGATCACTCCGTTTCGCACGCAGGTGCGAATGCTTTTGAATGAGTTGGATGTGAGCCCTGGCTGCAGTCAGCGCCACCGCGTCTCCATCATGCTATGTTACAGTGAGTCAGGTCCGAATATTCATTAGGCAGGTAAGCGTGAGTCCCCGGCCTTCAGTGAATCATTCTGCCACCTCCTATGGCGGCTGGTCCTTACTGGAGACTTCCCTTGTTGATCCAAATTCCTCTGGAACCCTACTTTCTCCGCATGACTGGTGGGGTGTGCTTTCTCGGGGAGGGGGTCGCTATGGGTTGGGGTCAGAAGACTTAAGATCGCATGAGCACACCGGCACTAGAGCATTCCCACCTGAGACGCCGTGGGACGTGCATGAACAAGTATAAACGTTAAAATAAGAACCAGAACCATGCTGGCGAATTTGTCTGAAGTAGGTGCCCCTTGCAATCTCTGCCGCCTAGCGTCAGTGTTGTTTATGAAGCTCTGTGTGTTGGTGTGGCTGCAATAATTGCTGTATGTAGCCATGTTGGCTCCGGCTGTGCTGCCTGCTGGCTAACTGGGCATACATGCGCTTGACTGGCTAGCTTCGGTACGGTGTGCATGGAATCCTGGCCAAGGTGAGACGAATCTTCCATAGACACAGGCAACGCCAGAATGAAAGCAAAAGTATTCAGGATTCTACACCAAAGTTGATTTAGTTCAAAGAGCATTGCCCCCCCCCCGGATGCGTTTAGCTTACGTGTAGCTTACAAAAAGGCACGTCGCGTAAAGGTTCTATCCCCAAGTAGAGATCACCCCCTCCTCAATGAATCCTGAACCCGGTCTCACTGTACGCTGGAGGTAACAAAAAGTCAACGTCTCACAAGCCTGAGGAACGTGGAGCCCCGCCCTGGGGTGTTCGAGGCATTCAATTCCGAAGCCCTGCTTGATTGAGGATTTAGGCTTTGCGAGGGTTTCTAGGTGTATGGTGTAGCGGTGAAGGTTAACGGGTTTTAGAGTTGGGGTGTGAGGATACAGGCTGATGGTTGGTGTGTTTGACTTGGCCCCCTTTATAGGAACCTTCCCACCGCATAATAAGAAATGGCCCATTACGATGGTACCATTATGAATTATATCGTCATCGTTGCTTCCGTTCAAGTTTAGGGTTTCGCTGTTAGAGCGGGAGATGAAGTGGCGTAGTAATTACAGCACCAAGAGGGTCATGTAGGTATATAGTGTATACACTTGGTGCCAAAGGGGTTCCCACATAGCTATCTTCGTGCCAAAGTATGTGCCATGCAGCTCTGTGGGTGCCAAAGTGCGTGGCATTTAGCTACGTGGACCCATTGGGGTATTGTCCAAGAACCGGCCAGGGGCATGGGAGCTCCGGATTAGTCTAAGGCCTAGACAGCAGGAATGATCTCAAGTGGAAAAGTGGGAGTATGAAGTGGAAGCCGCCTTGGGTCAGCAGTTCGGCAGAACGCTTCACACGTTGAGATTGAGGTTGGGAAGTTTAGCTGTGGTCGATCTGCATGTGCCGTAGTAGTTGCCAACTCATGTTGTGACCCTAGCTTGAGATTCTAAGGATTCTGAGGCTACACGGAACCCCATAGACCATCCTCAGGTCAGCGCTGCAGCGGGAAATTCATGGGGCCATACCTGCATCCAACAGTATGTATCAGAATGGTCTTTTGGTGGTTATTTCATCTACTAGTTGCGGCCCAGGTACCGCGCACGTACTCGTAGTAATAGAGGTCCCATAAACCCCTATAGAACTCCAGTCTCCATGTATTTTTGTTTTTTGGTCCATGTGACGCTCCATTTGTTGGCAACTCTTTCGTGGCCCTGAACCCTCAACCCCTGCATCTTAAACCCTAAGCCCTAAACCGTGCTTCTAAATCCGCAGACCCGGTGACCAGCTTAAAGAGGCCTAAGCTTCCTCACCCAGAGGCTCTTTTCTTCGGTTGCTATTACTCTTGCAAGAAATAATCATATAGTACTCCATCCCCCCCCCACAAAATGAAAAGGAGGCTGATTATCTAAGAGCTTGCTATGACTGAAATCCTTAGGAAGAAGATGGCACCGTCTCAATTTCAGAGCTCGTGCCCGGCTCTGAGCCCCCAACCAGTGGAAAGGGTTTGGGGAGATGGTTGGGGTTTAGATTGAGGGTTTAGGGTTTCGGAGTTTTGGGTCATAAGGCTAGTAGTGGTCAGGGGCGTGGCCCCAAGGTTAACAACCTTTCAAGAGAGCTTTTTATTGAGAAGATGCGGAGTCTTTGAGGAAACCGGTTTTAATCTCATGCGCTTGTTTTCGGTTTGCCATTAGTATCCTCTGGCTTCTAGTCGATGGAAACCAAGATCAAGTAGCTTGGAATCTTGACAACTTGCAAAGGAACTGAAACCTTGGGATCGGGTACCCTAAGCCCTAAACGCAGGCTCATGTGCAATTGCAGTTGTAAAAGGCAAGAAGAATCGCATTTCCGTTGCAAAAAAGTCTTACTGAGGGTATGTCGGTAGTTTCGCAAAATAGGGGAACCCCACTACAGAATTACAGGGACTCTAGCATCCATTGACCTGCAAGTAATTAGCCTTCCCCATAGCTACAGGACCCATGAAAATCCAAAGCCAGGCCAGCTTCTGACAAGTGCCACGGGAGGCCTATATAGTTTTTTCATTGACTAGTTTCGGGGTGGCTGAAAATGGGAGTGTCCTTTTCTGCGCCTCCAGATACTTTCTATAGCGAATTTCACGAAGGGCCCCACTTTCTCTCAAGTCCCCATAAATAGGGCAAGGGAAATTACTCACTGGACTTACTGGTGATGGAGACTTGGTAAGTATACCTATCACCCCTATAAGACCCCAGCTATCCCCATTACTAATCTATGTTCTAAGTCCCCCTGACCCTAAACCCTAAACCCCAGATGCCATGATAGTTTCCATCATCTTCCATTATGACCAAGTCCCCCTGACCCTTCGAGTAATTAGTTGAGCAAAAAGTGGAAACTACAGTACTATAATGGGTTATCTAGGGACTACTACGAGGATCCATTCTTTCATTCCTACCCCCTAAACCCTAAACCCTGAACACTTAGCTAACCAAAGAGCTTCGGAAAGCACGGCAAGCAAGGTCTGGCTTGATGCGATTGCGTGGAGACCTGCACAAGGTGGCAGATTCCCAAAAGTCTGAGTCCCTTTGTTAGGAGGTTCGGGCTTAGGATTTTTGAGATTTTCTAATTGTTTTTGTATGTTTTTTGAGCAATATATGGCCTCTATAGAGGTAATGGAAGAGAAAGTGAAACTATATAGGGATTATATTGTTGAGGGTTATATAGAGATGATATAGGGTTAAGGGTTTAGGGTAATTTTGTATCGTCCCAAGATTGTGTCATCTTTTCAGGTGTTTTCTGCGAGAAGACCCAAAGTGCAAGAAATACCCGAAGGCACATTCTCACATAACTTTTGGGTTGGTGTTTGAGGATGAGGGCTTGCGTCAGGGTGTAGCAGAAGAGCTTTCACTTCTTGGGCAGTCTACGAGGTGATTTCGGTCTTTTTTCATCCTTGTTTTCTGGTGGGTAGGCCTGCCTGTGCTACCATTATCCCTATATAACCTCAAGATATACCCTATAATCCTTATATAACCCATTATAGTAGTCAATCTTGCGTCTCTGGCTCTTCGGGAGTACCAAACCATTTTTACTGCTGAAGCAGCTGTGGGTCCTACTCTTACCGCGACCACCCAGGCGATGTAACGGCAGACATAAAGGGGAGTCCAGACCACGTGCCCTTACTCGGTCGTGCGACCCCCAAGGACATCCTTAAATGAGATAGTTTCCGTGATTAAATAGGGGGAGCCCAATACATTCAAAGCACTGCAATCTTTACCGTAGGGACCCCCTTTAAAAGGTACCCCTGATTTTGGGTATACTGCAGCACCGTAGAAATACCCAGACCAAGCCTCCAAATCCAAAGAGCCGTTCAGGCCGACAGATTCTAGGGATATTGGGGCATATATTGGGTATAGTGGAAAAGAAGATGGAAGCTACGATAGTATATCGGGGTTTATCTTGGGGATAATGGAAAAGAAAATGGAAGCTACTATTGTATATTGGAGTTATATAGGGATAATGGAAAGGAAAATGGAAACCACAGGGATTATATATGGAATACATAGGGTTATTCAGGGGTACAATATAGGGAGAGTGCAACATGGAAACTACTATGTAGGGTTTTAAGGTTTATAGGGGTTAGGGCTTAGCATGAAACGTAACAAAGGCACGATTTATATGTTCAGCAACGAAAATGACTGCAAGAGCAAGATAAAGAGCAGGTGCAAGTCTAGACTTCAGGATTATTGGAAGCTAGCTTGAAGGGCTTACAAATATATCTGAAGGCCCCTGACATCCCCGAGCACCTTGCAACTAAACGATGCTTGACACTCTCATCGTGAAGGCTGGACAACTACAAGTAGTTGTTTCCATTTTGTTTTGCATCATCCCAATATAACCCCTTTATAGCCCCAATACAACCTTATAGGGTCTACTGAATCTGATTTGCATGGAGACAAGTGTAAACCTAGATCTGCCACAGCTAAGCGCACGCGAGATCATCCGCGTGATGCTAGGGCGTCGGATTTAGGATCATGTATAACCCCTGATCTTTTGGTCCCTATAACTTACTGGGTTTAGTAGGGAATGAGGGAGTACGATCCCTACATACTCCCTATATGAGTTATTCTCATATTCCCCGCTACTAACCTAAACCTTAAAACACCCCTCCGCGCCCCCCCCCTCCCCCCCCAAAAAAATCAACGTTCTTCTCCATTATCCTTATTAGCACCCAGTAAGATAAGGGTTCCATGCTGGAAGCTTCGAGGTGGATCTGGTCATAGCGCAGATGGGCCTAGAAAACCTGCAGCTGCTCGCAAAAATCCACGCGGTCTAGGTTTTAGGGTTTCTTGCTTACGGTTATGTATAACGGTTGTAGTGGAAGGGGAAGTGATTAGGAGAAGCAAGTACGCAGAGGGGGAGCAGGAGATGTAGCAGTTCTACTGCCTTTACTATTCATGTCACTTTCCCTCTTGCTAGTACGAGCTCTATTGCTGCTTCTGTTGTTGCTACTACCGGTACTAGCACCCATTGTTGCCAAATAATCTTGTTGTTGCCATGGTGATCAAGAGGATATAATGTCGAAGGCTCCTGTGATTCCAGGCTTTGTATGTAGCTTCGCAGATGGGAGAAAAAGAGAGTGGTCTGAGGGTAAAGGTTTCGAGGCTTGAGGTGTAGGTACCACATGCCCATCTTTTTATGAACCTGAATCTCTGGAGGATGTAATGGTTGTTGTTGTCCAAGTTGTGGGAGTTAGGTTGAGGAAGGATGGCTTGAGAAGGCTAGAAAGGTTCAGGCAATCCAGTCAATTTTTGAAGTGTCCTGCTGGGATTCCTGTGTGGAGAACCTTCTGCTGAGGAAGCAGATGATGGCCTCTTGGCATGCAGCTGTGGGCCAGACCATTGTTCTGCAGCACTGATGTTAGACTTATACTTCTGAACTCTGTGTGAGCCATAGTCTACACTCCTTAAAGGGGTTATATGAGGGAATCTACAGGGGAAATATATACGAGTTTTTAAGGGGGATGCTAGGGCTTCGAGACTATAACCCCTATAGTCCCCTATATAGTCCCAGTTTCCATTCCATTTCCCATGTTCTTTTCCATTGGATTCTCCATGATTGGGGGACAATAAACCCTAAGCCCTAAATAGCAGCTTCCATTTTATTTTCCATTATCCTAAATAACCCCCCGGGATATTATATATATATATGTGTGTATATGTATATATGGCTCACATACTTGTGGTACTTCCTGGCTCTGAGGAGGGAACCCAAGCCTCTTGGGTAGGCGCTCAGGAATTGTTAAGTTGGGGGCCTCTTTTTTTTGTTGCGCATAATATAGGGTTTAGGGCTATATTACCCCCCTATAATGGAGAATCAAATGGAAAAGAAAATGGAAAGGAACATGGAAAATGAGATGGACACTTGGGGAACATAGGGATTTAAGGAACTTAGTTCGAGTTACTATTTGATGCGAACTATGAATATCTCTGGCTAGGCCAGAAATACCCCCTTATTTGAGACAGCCATTTGAAATGGATGATGGATTTTCTTCCCCTGTCTAGAACAATACCTAGTCCCATCTGCTTCCCTTATGCAGTTTTTATCTGGACATGGGCTGAGGAGCTGAAGAATTCAAATGTACAGATCGCGAAAAAGATAGGAGCCTCCAAACGGGGCGGAACGCTCAGCCGGCTTCCATCATCAGGCGTGTATGACTAGTGCAGGGTCCCTCCTGCACTGATTTTCCATGCTCAAGCATGCTCAAGGCATGCCGGTTTCACATAATGCGGAGAAGTAAGGTCGTGTATATGGTGAATTGGGGCCTATCTTGGCTGTCTTTGTGTATGGTTCAGACTGGCCTGGGGCCACCACGGCACAAAGCATGCTTTCGAGCCTGCACCTGCTCAATGGACAATGTTCTGGGTGGTGATGCGGCGGCATGTACGTTTCAGATGGGCCCGTCTTACTTGACAACTACATAACATGACTATATGTACATGGCAAATTTGTAAGTGCGGGGCTTGGAGTGGCAGCTGGCAGCTCCGCAGAGAGAGCGTTGCTGAACCACGCGATGGATTTCTTCGAAACCCAGCACGCAGGGTGCAAACCCTCATCGTTGCCTGCGGCCTAAGGCCAAGGCTTATACGGAAAGATGGTCGAGCCCCCCCGAGCTATTGCACCTTTTGACGCTACTACGATGATGATTTCAAGTGCATCTCGATAGAATGTATGTGATGACTACATTCCAGTTTGTCATGGCCACAATTCTTTGTTGGAGGTTCTTTGTCCACAGTTGTTTCAAAACTCAGTCTGCTTCAAGAGCCTGAAGAAGAAGTCGCACGCAAGGATGTCGCTCTCCAAATGAGGGCAAGGGCTTCATCGGCCATGTCAGGCTCGAGGTGGCTTTTCCCTGAAGACCATCAACAAACTTGCGCCGCCCGTTCCTTCACATGCAAAAACGGGAGCGGAACCCCCAAAGTGCCCCAAACAGCTCTAGGTGTCTAAGAAAAGGTGGCCTGCTAAGAAAGGAAACCCTGAACAGGTTCAGGTAGTGGCTCTTGCATGAGCTGCAATGAGAGACTGGTAGCGACGCAAAGGAAAGGGAACCAAATGGTACATCGTAATTTGTGTGTAATGTTGGACTCGCTTCAAGGAAAAGCTGCTCTCCAACGTGTTTCAGCGACCGGTTAAACAGTTCCAGTCCAATGTTAGAAAGTTCGCTTAAAGGAGTTTCGTTTGTAGGCGCATCGACAGAATCCCTCATCCTGTTTGAATCAAACCCCAGAGCCCTCAGGACCCTGGGAGTTCTGCCGCCCCTCCCAATTGTTAGGGTGGACGGGCGCCCCCAATAAAGCCGATCTTACACTACCTCAGAATCATCGCGGATTCTGGACAAGATTCGAGAAATGCCTACTTCCGGAACCCCAAAAACTTGGGCTGAAACCTGTCAGCTGCCGGCTCACACGGTTTTTTCAGTTACATCCGAAGATGATGTCAAAGTGCTGAACCCCAAGAAATAATGCAGATGTACCATGATAGGGGTATGTGTCCTGAAGTTGTTTCTTTCACGTAGCAATCCCAATAAACAGCAAAGTTAGAATTTTTTCTTGGGTTCTGAAGCACATAACTTACCTCTTTTTGCGACCCCTAGCAAGGTAGACTTTGCTTCAGCCCTGCCATAACCACCCATGGAAATCAGCTGAATCCCTATAGGCACACCTTTCCACACAATTGAACATCGTGATTATATAGGGATTATCTAGGGACTACACATATATGGTTGCAAGACTCTACGGTAGCGCGGTCATGGTTTACTTCCGGTGACTCCAGAAGCTCGCTGGCGCAGCCTCTGAGGCAACTTGCATGCCTGACGTACGGGTTTATTTTTTTGGGAGAGTTCGATCTGCGGTACATCTCCACGTGTATACAAGTTGCTGTCATATTTCTCTGCATGTACAATATGTGTGTCCGTCGCCCTGTATACAAGGTGCATGTAGGGCTTGAGCAAACTGATGCAGAAAAATTGTGGTTTTGCGCTTCTCGGAAATTTCTCATGGAAACTTCTATAAAACCTACGAAAATGTTTAAAAACACCTGGAAATCCTTGTTGAGAACCCTGGTGGATTTGTTTGTTGGGGTCCTTGAAGTACAGGCCTGGCTGCATTGGTGGTGCAGGTGAGCAGGACGCTGAACGATGCCAATCTCATCTGGAATCTTTCTAGATTCTACAGGTCCAGGTAGTCTTTCCACGTGCTGAGATCCTGGTTCGTCTTGAAACATTGTTAAAACCCTAACACCAGGCAAGCATTGGATTGGGAGAGATAAGACCAATCCTCAACGGTCTGTTGGAAAAGGTGTACAAGGTTTTGTAAGGTCTGTGGCATTTCTTTGTACATGTGTTGGTATGCTAATTTTCTTCATCGAAAGTTCATGAACTGATTGAAGACAGCCTAGTCTAACGCGGTTCTTTGGCAGTAGTTGGCAATTAAATAGCAATAATTAGCAGCCTGCATCTCCCCATTCCCAAGCAGAAACACTGTTGAGAATTGTGATGGTCTGATGGACAAGCAATAACTTGACTTCCTGCGGAAATGATATTTTCTGAGGTTTAGGTTTCGCACTGCTATCAGTGTCACAGTCAAATGCGCAAAGCCAGGCGCATGTCGTCCAATTACGACAGCCGGACGTTGGAGCAAATTCAGAGGCTATTGCTACGCTTGTCTGCAGAGCATGCATCTCATCCGAACTGTCGTTGTTGCCGTTGCGTGTGTGGCCTTGCGTGCTTGCACACTCGGGTACTTGGAGTGTGTATCTCAGAAAGCAATTCAAATCCTCGCTGGAACAGGCCAATGGCTTCAATCCTCATGTTCCGGAAATTTGCAAGACCTGTAGCGCCTGCTGGTTTCGTTGGGGCGTCAGCCACCTCATGAATCGGATCCCTTCCCCCCACACAGCACAAAGCGCAAGAGCTTGCTGCAGAAAGCGGCGATGTAGAGCTCCTCTTCATTCTATCTACTGGAGGATGCCCCTGGAATGAAAAGCACGGTTCACTGAGGCTGAAGAGGTCCAGCAGCTCAAGTTCGACATCCAAGCACTTCGTGACAGCAACTGGGTGAACCGAGTCTTCCGCTAAACAGCTGGGATACAAAGTACGGAAGCCTCGAACATGGAACTGTGTTCTGAAGGGCAGTCAATTTGGAATGCAATAACTGCACTGGCAGAACCATTCACGCACTAGTCACATCATCATGGTGATTGCAAGCGCCAGGCTAGTAGCAGAGTGTTTTGAGGAAGCCTGGAAGGAAGACAGAATATTGTTTCCTCGGTGGCTGAGCCTCTTCAGCATTCATTGGGCAACTTTGGAACCCAGGCCACGACGAGCAGGAGGTCTTTGCGGGCTTGCACACGATTGAGGAGGAGGTTGCCGAGCTTCATATGCTTGCAGGGGAAACAGGGCCTCAAGCACAGACAGACATACAAACGGATAACATGTGTCACTTTGTTTGCGCTCTATGTTTTTTAGTCAGGTCCTACCCTGGCAGTAAGAAGCGTGTGCCTCCCCAGCTTTGGTATGCAATGTGGAGGACAATCACGATGGCGCTGACAGCCTTCCTGACCACGACGTTCTTCGGGAAGCCTGAACCTTATGTGCAGCGACGTCGGGGAAAAATTGAGAATAGCAGTAATTTCGACACCTGCTTCAGGGAGCTGAGCCCTTACGAGTCAAAATCTTCCTCTTAAGATTTATAAGTCTACGCTGCAATCGTTTTGAAGTCAATTATCGATAGCTGAGGAGACCATGACCTTAACATGTTGACGCATAGCCTCTAGTTGTCCTGTCATGCATGCCTAGGATGGTGTGGGCAAGAGTATGACTCACAGGTTGTGTTGCTAGACAAGTGATGGTCTGCATGCTCGCAAGCAGGAAGCAAATGATGGTAGCAGGGGTGACGCACAAGGAGGAGTGGCAGCAGAACTCCCGAAAGGGGGCTTGAAATCATTGCCAGCCGCTCCTGCGCCCCCTAGTCTGGTTGATAGCAGATCTAGAATTCTATAAATTCTTCTGCGCTAGAATTCTTCCGCCTGTAAGCTCAGCAGGATGTAAGACCTTGCGTCTCAGTCATTGTCTGGGTGACCTGGCAATAAGCCCAGAAGCCTTGATCTCAAATGGCCTTGCCTCGCCTCAATCTCGAAGCTTGACCCCAGGATCTTTGCACACCAGATTGGAATGTAAGGGTCTTGTCTATAGATTCAAGGTCACGCTGTGATGTCCCATTCTTGAAGTGCTAGCGCTCCCAAAGATGATTCCCTTTGTTTTTGTAGTCTCCCACAAAGGGACCAATGACTTCGGAACCTCCAAACTTGCTGGTGGGAGCAGGCAGCGGCAGCTCTGAAGAGAAACAGTGCCGACCTCTCAGAAGCAGCTTGGCGCTGATACTAGGAAGGTTTGCAACAGGTTCTAGAACGTAGTCCAGGCTGGAGGCAGGAAGAGCCTCGTTACTTTTCAGTACTACTCAGAACACAACCAGGCTGGCCTTTGCCGCCCCAGAGTTCCATCATTCCCTCTTGTCGCAAGTAGAGACCCCATTGGTTCCTCGATCGGGGTTTTCTATGTTGTGCGTCGCGCGCTTGTCATTTGATTGTGAGACTTCATCTCGACGTTCTTGAAAGTTCTCATAGCATGAACTAAGATCTGACCGTAGTGAGCTTTCTCGCAACAGCACAAGCGCTAGATAGGCGTCACGCTTGAGTTAACATGGGCTCTTGTGAGAAGAGCCTGATAACCAGTGTTCCGAAGCAGCTCATATAATTCTTATCAACCCTTACATAATCCCTGTGTCCATTTCATTGTCCATTTTCTTGGCGATTTAGTTCTCCATTATTAGGGTGAAATCCCTATATGAGCCATAGTCTAAACTCCTTAAAGGGGGGTTATATAGAGGGTTATATAGGGGCTGAGGCTGGCGAAGGTTCTTACTTGGCTAACCCTAGGGTTTAGGGCATAGATTGGGGTTATAGAATGAGGAAAATGGAAAAGGAAATAGAAACTACGGTGGATAGAAAAAATCCTGCATGACACTAAGTACCTTATACCTTGGGAATAACGGTACTATAGTATAGTAAGGTCATGCAGGATTTTTAATCTCAACAGTAGGGCGTAGGATGGTTGGGGGTTTAGGGTGTAGTGCTTAGGTTTATTGCCTCGGCTTGGGAGCGAACTGGAGGGTTGCAAGGCCTGCGCCAAGTGAGCTGTAGTCTAAACTCCTTAAAGGGGTTATATAGGGGGTTATACAGGGGATATATTGGGATAATGGAAAAGAAAATGGAAACTACTGTTTAGGGTCTAAACTCCTGAAAGGGGATTTTATGGGGAGTACTACTAAAGGGGATAAGAGGAGTTTAGACTAAAGCTCAAGTGACACGCATGTTTGGGAGCTGTCTGGCAGCACCTTTAGATGAAGAGCCTCCTGGCACTCAAACACAGAGAATGAAAAAATACCAGATGCCGCATCATAGCAGTGTATCATTATTCGCTGAACAAACGAGCATGCAGCATAAAGCTGAATCCTTGCTTTCAGACATATATATACCCTATGAAATTTAAGTAGTTTCCATTGTATTTCCCATTATCCCAATATATACCCCATTATATTAAAGTAGTTGAATCCCTTCCTTCGCTGGATTTTAGCGTTGATCAGCGGGGCTTGGGATAGTGCATCGCCTGGTTTGCTGGAGGTACAGACTCTACCAGATTCAACTCCTCCGCGCTTGTCAATGGACTTGACGGCCGAGCACTTAATCACCCACGCCTGCCATCAATGCTAGTGCCGCAGCTGTTGGAAGGCTGTTAGAATTGTGGCCTTTGTTTGGGCTTCTGTTATCATACAGCCCCTGACATATAGGGTACCCGAAAAGGAACCAATATTTTCATAGTCATCGTAAGTCTTGTCGAAAATTGCCTGGCTCCCCCTTGAGAGTATGTATTGTGTTTGAGGAAAGGGCTTTCACATCATTCACAGTGCATTCTCAAAGCTATAGCACATTCGTAAAACCCGTGTAAGTCAAGACGACAATAGGAGGTCTATCATGTCTCAGAGAAGAAATGGCAGCTTCCATAAATTGGGGAACCCCAATATAGACCTCAAAATACTATAGTCCGTATTATTAGGGCCCCCAAAGAGGTATCCCTAATTTTTGGGAACCCCAAATCCCAGCAGCTGGCGGCAGTGCCTGCTCACATGGCGCTAAGCGCTTGCTTCGCGCAGCATCAGCCAGACATGTGGAAGAAAAGCTTCAAAGGAAACAAGAAGGGCGCAAGAGATTGCAGCAGACATGTATGGTGCCTTCTGCTATCTGAACCCCCAGTAGAACGAGCATTTGTATTCCAAATTTCTTCATTTTGCATTTTCAGGTGCAAGATGGGGCCACCGAGGGTTTTGTGATGTTTCCGCAATGTTCCTCCGAAGAAGAATCCCAGCTTGTGGGGAATTGGGATAATGGAAAATACAATGGAAACTACTTTAATATAATAAGGTATATATTGGGGTTATATTGGGATAATGGATAAGGACTTCATGAAGCTAGGAGAATATATTTGCAACGAGGCAGAGACCCCGGTCGAATTGGTGGACTTATGCCCCGTTTCTGAGCCGCTGGAGATGGTGACTTCATGTTTGTCTGCCTGGTGCTCACGACGCCTGAATCATCTCAAAACAAGTATCACAACACCGGTCCCCCCAAGCAAGGCTTGGGCTAAAGATGACCTCAGAGTAGAAGGTCCCTTCAAGGAATGCCGATCAGTGGATGCATCCTACAGAACCCAAGTTAGTGACAGAACTGCTTGCATTTCTGACATGTAGGGTTCAGGATTTAGGGTCAGAGTTACCATGGAACCCCGACCAATCCCTACGTTGGATTTGTTAAGCATGTTGCGCATCATTACGCAGTTGTTGAGCCCTGAACCATGCTGCGGCTTCATGTGGGGATTCCCCAAAATTGTGGGTAGCTTTTTTGGGGGCTTCCCATACATAGTATTTGGGGGTCTATATTGGGTCCCTATTTAAGGTCAGTACCATGTCAAGAGTGGGCCTTTCCATGTTCAGCGCATTGCTTGATCTACTTGTAGCTAGCTTGGAAATGGAATTGTGTCAGATGTTTAAATGCACGAGGCAGATTGGACTTCCGCGAGGGAGTTTACATAAGAATGACAGATACAAGCCAACAGTGCTTTGCATTGGTGACCTTTATGAGAAGCTGCGTCATGCACGCCGATGCTCATCGTGCCAGACATCGCTTACAACACAGACTACAGACCACGGAGCCCAATGTTCCAAATCCAAGCACAGAGCATGGTTTGCCACTTCCCAAACGTCGCATGTCACGCTATTGGCAGTTGTGTAGCCAGCAACATGAAAGGCCGGCCCTTCATGTTGACACCCTCAACCGCCCAAAATCGCAAGGGAATGCATCGGTCGTGCATGAGGTTCGGGCTGTTGTCTACTCCATCACCGGCCTTCCCGCGTCAACATTAGAAGGCCAGCTGAACTGTGCAAAATGATTGGCAGCCAGCTGTCATCGCGACCATGACAGCCTTTCGAGTGCTCGCGCTGGGCGGAACTTGTTTTTGAAGCTGATCATTTAGAGTTTAATTCTGGCAACAAACGATCCCTATGCAACTGCAGCAAGGCATCGCTGATCCAGAGTGCTCCAAGTGCAAGCTGGCGATAAACGGTCAGGGTTACTCTGACATTGTGGACTTGAGCAAGGACGCAACATGTCCCCTGCCGCTGTCAGCTTGCATCGCGTTGTCGGCTCGCTAGGAAATGAGCTCATCTTGGATAATTGCGTAGTTGCGTCCTGCATTCTCCATAGCAGCCAGTTTCGGGGAAAGGCGCGAGACAAGGCCTGCAACCATACAAGCTGAGGATGACATATTGCAAGAAGGGGCCCACAATCCTATGTCGCAGCCTGAAAATGACCTGGAAAACAACAAGAAAGAACGCAATCAGATATCCTCGCTGGTCATTCGTTGAAGCCTCACCGCCTAACGCCATATTTCTAGAATAAAAAAATGGACGCCAAACTCGCTCGACTTCTCTTAGTTTCTGCATCGTAGGAGGAGCCTGCCCTTCCTGGTCAAGCAAGTGGAGCGTTGCGAGCAATGCCATGTTTGCAGCCAGATCCTTCGTGGTACTTACCATCACCTGTTCTAGCTAAATTCGCTGTTGTCAGCGGCAGCGCATTTCTTCTGTCCTCATGCAGACGGGAAGACGACCAGTACTGTAGCGGCAAGAGCAGCAATAGCAAGAAGTCCTGCTGCTACCATTCCTGTGCTGCTGCTGCTGCTGCTGCTGCTGCCGCCGCGTTGACGAAGACGGCAACTCTTATATGCAGTTGCTGGGGGGCCATGGCAGATGATTTTAAAGTGTGGTTCAGATGTTCTTGGGGTTAGCTTTTTGATCAGCATTTGGGGCACTTTTTTCCATGTCTCACAGCCACAGCAAGAGATAGGGATAATATTCGCCCCTTAAGAAAAAGCCCTTCAAGGCGCGTTACTTTAAGAGGGAATGACCCACTGGATGCTGCTGCTTCTCCTTGTGCTGTTGCTGCCATTGTCCGGTTGCATGGATCATGGCATAGCACTTGCAGATTCAGCATAATTAGTTAGAACCCTATGAAGGAAAATCAATTGGGCAAGGAAATGGAACATGGAAACTGGGAGATCCTAGGGATATCCACACAGATTAGGGACTTAGCACTAGTATTGTAATTTAAACCCAATTTTCTGAACCGTACTCATAGGCCCCATGATGTGGCTGTAATGGGGTTATACGTACCAGTTATAGTTGGGTGATAATTGCCCCGAACCTCCCAGCTTAAGCACGGGTCACGTTTCAATGGCAGGTCATACGTCCAAACAGATGAGATTCCTTCGACACTGCCCTCACCAAGTAACAGTTCATAGCAGTTGTCGCATTAAGTAAGGGCTAAACACACACACACATATATATATATACATCTATTTGTAACTATCTGATTGTTACCAGGTGGGGGCAGTAACCAAGAGATGCCCCACGAAGCAAAAAGAAAGTTTTGGACGTCCTCTTACATCGAATCCAAGTGAGTGCAGGCAAGTACCCCCCCTTGGTTGGACACGGCCTCCCAAAAACCCAAGTTAATGGAAAAGAAAATGGAAACTACTATCGTATATTGTGTTATATAGAGATGTATAGGGTTATAGGGCCCCATGATGGAGAATCAAAGGGAAAAGAAAATGGAAGATGAGATGGAAGCTGGGGTTATAATTAAATAGTGGCTTTACACAGTCCTTTATAACCTCAGTCCACGCAAAATCCCGAATCTCCCTGAGCACCAAGAGTCGAAATGTCTTTGTCCGAACCACCCTAAACCCTAAACCCTAAACCCTACATAGCCCCAATATACTATAGTAGTTTCCATTTTCTTTTCCATTATCCCAATATAAACCCCAGTATAGTCCCTAATAATCCCTATATAACACCTATAATCCCAGTAGTTTCCATTTTCTTTTCCATTATCCCAATATTACCCCAATATAATCCCAATATAATCCCAGTGTCCATTTCATTTTCCATTTTCTTTTCCAGTTGATTCGCCATTATTGGGGTAATCTACAGTAGTTTCCATTTTCTTTTCCATTATCCCAATATAATCCCAATATACACCCTAAACCCTAAACCCTATAGTAGTTTCCATTTTCTTTTCCATTATCCCAATATAATCCCAATATACACCCTAAA